GATTTACCAAAAAATTTTCCAAGAAAATTTCAAAAGACCAATGAAAATAGGTTTCCGGGAACAATAGTTATTGAGCAATAYTCATTATTATTTTCGTGTGTTTTCAAACATTTAAAAATCTTTTATCAATAGTGAAAAAACAAACAGAAGTGTGAGAATATATCTCAACTTTGATATAAATTGTTTTATTTATTTTCTTTCAGCTAAAATTTATTCTGAAAAACATACGGTMATATTTATACTGTCGTAGCACGCTACCCTTACTCTTAATATGTTTTTCGCCAGTATTTGGGTCCGCGATATCACCAAAAATTAACGTGTTGTTTATGATAATCAAAAGAAGAATAACCATATCCTTTCCTAGCTTGAGTTATTTRGCTGATAGTTCCTCCCTTCCTCGACTGACTTTAGTAAACAACCTCCTTTAGGAAATTAAATTCCTGTTTTGTCTTTGGGACTATTRATTCTGAATTTTGTACGTATTAGTCATTCTTATATTTTAAAGTTTTTGCCGTATCGCACATTTGTTCGTCGATATTCTTTAGGCTTGGCAAAAAACTTCCACTCGTGAATAAAACCTCATTTATAATTCAGGACTTTTTCAACGATAAAAGGAATTTTAAACAAAGAAAATTCACTATGTAAACAGCAAATATTAGTGCAAATATTACTGAACAGCTGAGAGTAAAAATGAAGTCTTTTRATTTATTTCCTTTACGTTAAAGATATTATCTATCCGGTCTGAAATGATTGGTATAAAAGTTGTGATAATGTTTTTTATTTTAATCTTATTGATATGATTATCTTCTGAAATTCGGATGACTTTTGATAATATGTCAAGTTCGTAAAACATATCTTTAGGAGTTCGTATTGTATCGAACTTGTATCYGCGAGCAGTGCGAAAAAGCGGGCGTCCATCTCTTTCCTGTTTCTTCTCTATAGAATACTCGCTCAGTCGGTAAAATTAAAATAGTTTCTTGAATGAAAAAACTAAATAAAAAAGAATTAACTAGTCATTCCTACAGTTTTAACCGTATCATGTAGAGTTTTTCATTTGACTTTATTTAGTAGCATTCTTTCAAGTTTATTTGGTATCCGTCAAGCTAGACCTTCACCAGYTTTAGTTGCGTAAAGAATGCATACTAATTGCATTTTGAAATTAATTCAGTACAAAACCAGGACCTTTAGAAACAGGGCCGTAGCTACAAATTTCTGATTGGTCCGGTTTTCGAGGTCCTTAGGTTTTTCTTACATTTTAAAAATATTTTTCTTATTATTTTTCACCGAAAGTTGGTCCGGTTGAACCGGTGGCTACGGCACTGAGAAAAAGATGTTTTTTCTCGCTACCAACCGGCCTACTAATAAAATAAATAAATAAAATTATAGCAATACAAAACTTTATTCTAGATTAATGTTGATGTTTTATCGCCTGGCAGCGAAGGTACCACATTAATTTTCATTTGACATTTAAAATTAAAATTGCGTTTGYCCTTTAGAGCGAAGTAATAAAAAATTATCCGGCGCATGTCACTTAATCAACTTACGTTTTCATTCGATACTCATTGAGTCAGACCAATCCGTGCAAAATTAAAAGGTTAAATCATTTGATTCTTTCATTTGAGTCTTTTATTCAATCAGTAATACTAAGCCAGGAAGTTGAGATCGTCTGGCGGTAATCAAATTGATTATTTATAACTCTGTGTTTTAGCAATACCATTAGTAATATTTCAAACACGCGAGAGAGTTCTTCCTCCGCGGATTTCCAAACACCGAAAAGTGAGTTGAAAAAAACGAGGCGCAGAAAATCCAAGAAAAAGTACATTTCCAAACCACCGTCACATTAGTGATTTGCTTTGTTTTCTCCTCATTAAGTTTTAGAATAAATGATTCCCGTGCCGGGGCCAAGAATCGAAACTTTTTGTCATTAGTCAATCACAACCACATGCGTGCGTGGTGTGGTTGTTTGAGATTAGATTGATGAATACTTTATACTATAAAAATTACCGAATTGCGGGGAATWGGCCGTCGGCGGAGCTTTCTTATGACAGTCATGCCCACTTTTRTATGATTACTCCAACCATTTTCATTGGTAAATTACAAACACCATGTGTAGTCTTTAGTATATGACATTTTGGTGCCATTTTGAACCAGAGGAGGATCCATTTTAAGACATAACATTTTCCAACTAAACAGCCGAAATTAATATTTTTCGAAATTGAAAACAGTCAATTGTACTTACTGTCATAGCTTTTAGCGTTATCTATCTATTTTCTAAATTCTTCAAGAAATCATTTAGAGATACTTGTCAAAATAGGCTGGAGTAATTTGGAGTACTTTCAGGTTCAGTATAGATCCTACAACTGGCTACTTTTATTTGCCAAATTAGTCGAACATGTCYTCATCAAATGCTAAACCAAAAGGCTAGGTATTAGTATTGTTAGGGTCGAAACCAAAGAAAACGATAARCTCGCAAAGGCATTTAGGAGTGGATAGTCCCGGATCCTCCTCTGATTTTGAACGTATACACCGACGTGGAATGTTTGGAATTTGTCGACGAAAATGCGTGGAGTAATCATGCGAAAGTGGGCGTGATTGTCATAGGATAACTCAGAGCCTAATCCACAGTCCGGTAACTTTCGTAGTAAAATTGTCAATTTGGAATGTTTTCAAAGTAACTTTTTAGAAAATCATCCTTTTTCAAGTACATACAGCTATTTCAAGAAAGACTGCAGGGTCAAACGGCGATAAGTAATAATTAAGCGATAGTAAMGATAAGGGATATTGGAGGTAGGTCATTCCGAATTCCTTTCAGTCGTGCAACCGGCCAGTCACCGATTACCATTCGCCGTTCACCACTTCAACCTTTTTTTAAAATTGTTGCATAATCGCTTTTTACTTGTGCGTTTCAAGTAGTTGAAAGGGGCACTTGGACGAAAATCGATGAAAATTGGAAATGACTTTAAACTTGGGTAAACCTATCTATATGGCCTCAATAGTAGCCAAGYAACATATTTCTTGACAGTCAAAAGTGGGGTGTGAAAATCATCAGTTTTATTCAGCAACTGAATTGTGAGTAAATGACGTCATTTACTCAACCCTATTGTTCTTTTTGCTTTTAAATCAAAATTTCTCAACTGCAAGTGGCTCACAGGCTAAAATTTTCACTAATCTAATTTTCATAATCGTAATTGAGTCATATTATCCTCAAATACTTCAGTTATTTGGACTTTCGAAAATTGGGGCGTTTTCATTCAAGTGCCCCTTTGAAGCTTCCTGCACCTGCAATATTACCACATGAAGGAAAAATAATTGTACTTTCTTAGCGTAATTCTTTTTTTTTTTCTTTTTTCATCCACAGAATAAACTATGAGTTTCATCATTTACTCAGTTTTCCTGTTACTCATTTTGACTGTGGCTGAYTCAAGCAGTTTTCAAGAACCTTATCAGATATTCAGACGTCAATACGGAAACGAAGTCTGCGAGCCGCGCACCGCGAACGTCGAAATCAAACTAGTTGGTTGTTATAAACGCCGTGCGCCTCTGAAGCAATGCAGTGGTGCCTGCTTAACCTCTGATTCTCCGCACAACGACCGACGAAAGTGTACATGTTGTACACCAGTGAAAACCAAGCCGGTGACTGTAGATGTTGTCTGCAAAGTACAAGGAAATAATGTAGGGCTTGTCAAACACAAACTCTTAGAACACGAGCTTTGTTCCTGTTTGCCTTGCTTCGATTAACACCTTCGAATAAAAAAATATGGTATGTCTAATAAACTATAAACTTGCTGGATAGAAAAAGAACTTCAATCCATAATCTAACCTATTTAATGTGTGTACAAACTGGCAAAACAAACAATCAGAAACAAAACCAGCTTTGGTTTCATCTGAGATCCRATTATTTTTAATATATCTTAGTATCTTAAATTTTAAACAGAAATATACTTGAATGTAAAAAAAATATTTTTTCATTGCAATGGTATACACGTGTATGTAAGGTTCAAGCTTTCTAAAAGTCGTTTTAA